CTTAAACAAGGAAAGAAGATGACGTTCCAGGAATTAAAACGAGAAGCTGAGATTAGGGAAAACTGGAGAGCTCTTTTTGGGCAGAGCAATGGACCTGTCATAAGACAGAACACTTAATAATAATAATAATAAATGTTTGTGCCTTCAAGCGAAAATAAAGTCTTCTAGCTCGGTGCACGGATGACTCTTGTTACACTGGTTTGTGTAAATAACTTTATTAAAGATCTTTGTGAGATGTTTCTAAATGAGCGTTGATATTATCTAATGTTTCTTCTGATCTCTAGGGTTTTCAAATTGTGCACTTTTACGACCATAAAAGTGACAGTTTACATGAATTTAATTAAACATGCTAGTAAGCTAAGATTAATCACAGAAAGAAAGACTTTCTAAAACAAAAACAAAATACCTCTAAGTCACAGTATAGAAATATGAATATTATAATATATTTCAGCATACATAGTAGTTAATAATCTGATATATTCTAAGAAAATAATATCTAAATACTTATCTTTCCCAGTTCACAACTTTAGTTTTAAGACAACGCAACTCTGACTACAACAAACTTTGGATTTGTTGAGAAACAAAAGAATTCCTAATACAATAAAATATAATGTGTATGTTTTAATTCAACTTGTGACGCTACAAATGTCTGTTGGTAAATTGTGCAACTGTGAAAACAATGTTGGCAATAAAAGCAGTAGATGGTCACTGTACTACAGAAATATATTTATTTTAAAGTAGTTCCAATTTGATGCACAACGCTGAAGAATAAAGTCATGCAGAGAAGCGGACTAAATGATATAGAATTTGCCTCTCCGGTGGTTGATGTTAATTGTGTTGTCGTTGATGTTAATTGTTTGATGTTAATTGTGTTGTCATGTTAATTGTGTTGTCGTTGATGTTAATTGTGTTGTCGTTGATGTTAATTGTGTTGTCGTTGATGATCCTAATTTTAGCCATGACTCAATTTCAGAACCATGTCTCTCAACCCATTCAAGGTTTTCTTTCGCAGATTCCACTGCCCTTCTCGCTGCTTCTGTGGCTGCACCGAGATCTTCATTATTAACAAACTCTATAAACTGTCAAGAGAGCAAAAGCAAACAAAAATTATTATGATGATATTATCTTATTGTGGATATCACACTTCTTTCTTTTTTTCATCCATCTCATTTAAACTTGGTGGCGTAGAAGAGTAAATACAAATCTTGAACTATCTTTCTGTAAGATATTGTAAATGCGTCATATTGTGATTATATATTATTAAAACATTTATTAAAAACTTTTGCCGTTGATGGCTAAATTATAGCCGAAATTAGTCGTGTAAGTTCCAATGTAATCGAGTACTCGATAGGAACGTTAAATGATGTTTTAATCTTTTAACAATATTATATTTGTGATTGACGGCAAAAGTTTTTAATACATATTTTAATAATATCTTTCTGTAATTTTCACTTTTTTGTTTGCTTCTGATTTATAGTAAGATGCCTCGTCTCGCAAATGTACAAAATACAAGGAATGGCTTCTTTACTGTTCTGGAAAGTAGTTTAAATTACAACGTCATATTTAGTTGGAGGTTTGTGAATCCAAGCTCCACTCCTCTGACACACTAGCAAACACGAAGTAGTTTTGATTACAAAATTTAATTTTTTAAAAAAAAGGAAACTTTATTTATAAATCTGTATAGTTAAATGTTGTACTATTAACTTATTCTCCCTCATAAAACCCCCAGCTGAGTATCAAATTGTTTTTAAACAAAAAAGTAATGTGAACCAACTTTATTACACTATTTAGGATTTGTGGTTTTCACGGCAGAGTCTGAAGATTGCTGTCGTCTGGGTCGTTGCGCCGTGTAGTCTGGTAGATGTCCACCAACGTTTCAGTCATGCTGCCTCCGACATCAGGGCGATGAATTCATCGCCCTGATG